TATTGATTTTTGTTGGTTTACTTATTTTAGGGAGGGTTGAGAGGAGCTTGATAAATAGCAAAGGCTGTTGCCTTTCTTCTTTTGAAGTTCGTTTTTTGCTTTTAATTGTGGACTAAAATCTGCAACCAGGGTGTATTTTACAAAGGCAAACAGCCACAGACATTTGAAAAACCTGCATTTGGACTGTCCGACCACCTGCACAGCTGCCAGCAGTCACTACAGGCTTGTCTTGGGAGCAGCTGGCTGGGGACCTTGGCTCTGTATCTGGCACCTACACTGCCTCATTAGATGATCTTTACTTTCGTGAAACAGTAAATAGCAACCCGCGTAATTCTCACTCGAGAATTTGAAAAAGCTTCTCTTCCCAAAAGCACTTAGGGATCTTCCGGGAGAGTCTCTGGGTACTTAAATAGACCTAGCACTGACTTTTTTTTTTTTTTTTTTAACTTTCTCTTTGCCAGGAACAACAAGAACAAAAGACAATTAAAAGTTGCTGTTGGTATTGTCATGGAACAGCAGTTAGTAGTTGTGAAATGAATGAACATGTGAGGCACACACTGAAAATTTGACATGCTTTATAAATGCTAAATAATAATAACGATGTCGTGAGGCTTTCATTTTTAAACTGTCTTAATTTCATTCTCAGTTTGAGATTGCAGATTACAGTAGTTAATTATAGAAATTGGCCCAGAGTGAACCTTAAATCAGATTTCCATTAAAGTACATGACTGCAGCACATTACTTTGTAGTGGGAGAGAGGCGAGAGTGGCATAATCTCTGGTTGAGTGGGGTCTTCTCTTCACCCTGGGTGGTGATTTTCCTCTTAGTGCACTGAGGTATACAGTGTGTCCTAAACAATCCTGTGTCCCTGAGCTAAGCAGCTGTGTTCTTCTGTCTTGCTGCTCTTATAGAAATCCTAACTGCTTTGTTGGTCTTGGTCAGACTCTTTCTCCTCCTCTCTCTTTCTCACAGCTTGTTTTCTCACACTCTGTTTTGCATCCTCTCCCCATCTTCCCCTCTCCCTCTCTCCCTCTTCCATCACCTCTTCCTCTTTTCCCTACCTCTCTGCCTCCCCCCTCACTCCCTTTCCCATTCTCGTGTTCTCTTGCATTCTCTCATGCTACCCCTCTCACTGCTTGTTTAGTGCTCTCTCTCTCATGCTCTCACGTGGCCACTCTGTTTTCCTCATTCTCTCAAGCACTCACTCTTCTCTCTGTCCCTCTGTGCCTCTCCTATCACTTCCCCTCTATCTTTCAGGGAAGCTGCTTTCAAGACTTGCTTTCACCCAGTTCAGATAATGGAAGGAATAAAAGGAACTAAGTTCCCATCCCTGGCCTCTGGCACCAGCCACTCTCTCCCGCATCTGTATCATCTTGGGTTACTTCCCCAATCAACCATGAGTTCCTCAGTGAAATAAGTTGGGTGACATCTCTGCCTTTGTCCTGGCTGTTCCCCTTATGTCAGAGCCTTTGTCTGTAGAACATCACCTGTTCCAAAAAGCCTGTCTCATGGCAGCCACCTGCATCACTGTCCTCTGCCCTGGTCTTGGCTGTGTGAGGCAACTGTAGACCCTGTATTGTAATAGCCAGTTTGCTGGTCTGCCTCTCAAACTAGACTTTGAATTCTTTGAGGACAGTGATGATATCTTATTCTTCTCTATATCCCAAGGATTTAACTCTGTGTATGGTACAAGGGATATGGTCATCAAATGTCTATTTATTATGATCTGAGTAACACTCGGCTGCTCTCCCTTGACACCAATAAATCAGAGGGGCAGAGAACTAGTGGGAAGAAGTTTATTTCTGAGTTCGAATCCAGGGAGCAGAGTCAGACTGGAGGTCATTCTAAAATGATTCTGCTCACCCTCCAGGTTTTTACAGTTCACTTTTTAAGTCCAGAGTTGTTAGTACCTATACATTGGCCACATGACCAGCAGAGCATCGTATAGAACTTAAGTTTCAGCCACATTTATCGATAGTGACATTTTTTCAGTCCAGACTTCCTGATACCAGGTATCAGAAGTATCTCATAGATTTTATCAGTAGGGCCTGGCAGAAGCGTTAATCAAGCTTGCCATAAAGTAAAGGGAGTTTACAAGGCCTAAGACATCATGCATTATGCAAAAGTTACACAAATCACAAAACTTATTGTTACATTGATACAAAAGTTATACAAATCACAAGACTTACAATTACATTGATACTATTATTCAAACTTATGACTACTCAGTAAAAGGGAATAAATGGGGATTTGAGTCTTTCAGTGTTTCAGTTGATTGGGATTTCCTTGACAGGAAAGTCAAGGATCCCCTGAAGCTAATTATTGTGAGTGCATAGGAGATAAGGGGACTGACCATCAGAATTGTTGTTCAGGAATGTACAGGAGCACTTGATCCTATGCCATGCCCTTGTCTAGGGGCTGTGGCAATATGAACAGAAATTAACAGATCTCTGTATCATATTGAAATTAATTCATTCTTTAAACCATTATTTTTGGATGATTATGCCATGCCATGGATTATGCTAGCTGCTGATTATAAAAATATGGGGAAAAAAGACATCATCTTTGTTTTAGAAGAACACAAAGATGACCCACACAAGGGGAGTTATATCTTGGGGATGGGTGAAGAGGGTTGAGAGGAAAATAAACTACATTGGAGAACAACGGCCACCTATTTCTCAGTAAGTCTAACAAACCCAATTATTCTCCTGCAATTGGAAAAGAGTGCTCCTCCTTGGGTTCAGCACCAGCTGAAGAAGTTGGCTTACTTTTAGGTACAAGTTGTATCAACAGTATCTATTTCTAACATTAGGCTAAGACACTGACATATGAGAGACTAGTGGGATCTTATGCCAACTGAAGGAACATCAGATTCACAGCTCCTGTTTGACACTTACTCCAGAACTGAACCACAGAGTCAGAAGCATCTTCCCTCCTTCTTGCCCTCCCCCCACCTATTTAGATGAATTCACATAAATTTATTGTGTATTCTGTAGCTACTCTAAAGAATGATCACACCGTTTTAGATGGGTTTGGTGAGACAGGAAAGCTTCCCAGAGAAGCTGACATCTGAACTCATCCTTAAAGAATGTGCAGGTTGAACCTGGCAGAGGTGTGCAGGTGCCAATGTGTGCTTTACTAGAAAACCTGGGTTTTCTACACAAACCTTACTGAGCCTCAGCAGTTTCTGAGTTTCTCCATGGACCCCATGAAGTCATTATTGCTCTTCAATGTTTTTCTTCCATTGTTCTGGCAAGTTCCTCTCCATCCCACAGTTATTTGGAAACTACTGCTGTACCAAGCCTCAATGCTAACAGCATTTAATAGTTGTCATTAGAAAGCAAGCTTCTGCTTACCAGTCGGCCTGCTGTGAATGGTAATGGGAGATTTCTTTTTTGGGAGTAGCCCCAATCTCTAATTGGTTTGAAAAATATTGCTCATTTATTTTATTCTTAAGACATTACCTTTGTATTGAACTTCAGTGAATTTGTGTTTCCATTATATTCAAATTCAACAGTCTCAGTCTCCTGAAAAAAGCTTTTTTTACTTCTGTCTAGGTAACCTGCCCACTTTCATCTTTGCTTGCTAAATGCATATATAAATATCCATTAAGTATGTTTAAAGCCACATGCTAAATATTTCACATGTATTATCTCATTTAGGTTTTTAGCAACCCTATGGATTAGGTCCTATTATTATTCCCATTCTATAGATAAAGAACTGCTCAGGAGAGGTTATGTAACTTAACCAAGGTCCCAACTATAGCAACTGGCATGAGCAAACAAATCAGTAGGCAAACTAGGGAGCTGACTTTTTAACCTCACACTGCTGCATGTTAGCTGTGCGACCTTGGAACACATCACTTGAACGGCCCAATGACTTTATTAGCTGCAGAGGGCCCACCCTCACCATACTAATGAATAGGGAGTTGGGAAGGATTAAAATTAAAGAAGAATTTACGTAAATAGCACTTTCTAAACTGTCAAGTGCTATACAAATGTAAGATATTCTTTTCTCATATGTTTTGTTTAATTTAGCATATTGAAATAACAGGATTTTAAAATGGCATGAAGCACATATATGCTTTGCAATTAGTGTAGCATAATCTAAGTGTGACTCTATTGTTGGAATTTTGATGCTTCCAGCTTGATGAATAGCCATTTTTCTGTGGGTGTTATCAATTAATCTAGGTAATGAATTCTCTTCATTATCTCATTCTTCATGTTAATTATACAGGATTTTCTTACTCCTATTTATCAAGTCAGGACAAGTGCAATTTTTTTGGTCCACATGCCTTTGAATATGGAATATGTACAAACAAGTTAACATGATGAGTTTAAATCTGCATTTCTGAAAAATTCCAGTCAGTGGCTTGAGTTTGTCAGTAGCTGACATGGTTACTTATGGTATGAACTTGTATCTTTTTATTTTGAGGGAATTTTTTAATCAAAAAGGTTGTTATCTAAGATAATTAAACATCTCAGGTTTTTGAGAATAAACCTCTAGCATATCCTAGAGGTATAGGGGAAACATGGAAAAGTTTGAATCTTTACCTATTAATACAAAACAACAAATAGTAAGTTCCTAATTTTAAAATATTGTATGAGACACCATGACAGGTAAATATTTAATTATAAATCATGGTAGAAAAGATATAAGTGCATGAAATTTTAAATGGCATTACTTATAAAAAGAACAGACAATATTTTTAAAAAATAGAAGGTAGTATGTAATAAATGGACGAATGATTTTTGAATTCATTTTTATTCTAGAGTGATTGATATGATAATATGGGTTAATATGGTAATATTATAGTGATGTTAGTTAACTAAATATTAACTTTACTAATACGTCCTGGGATTTTTTTTTATATTTTATGCTCTGTGTTAAAAACAAAAACAAAAAAAGTAGTCTTATTTTAATTATCTCTATTTAGCCAGTTATTTTTGAGACTATGTCAGCATTTTATGAAATAGATAATTTACTATTTTTGATTTCAGGTTGAAGCCATCCTCGTCAATATTTTTGGTGGGATCGTCAACTGTGCCATCATTGCCAATGGGATCACCAAAGCCTGTCGGGAATTGGAACTCAAGGTGCCCCTGGTGGTCCGACTTGAAGGTAAGTCATGGTTGATTTCCACTGGGCCGGCACTCTTTCTTCAAGGTCAGGTGACCAACATCTCCTGGAGTCACAAACTTTCTGAGGTGACATAAGGAAACACTGGACTGAGTAAGATGAAACAAACACAGTACAACAGGACTTCCCTGGGTCTCTAACAGGCTAATATGGATTGCAACTTTCCAAGAATGGCAGGTATTAAGATGCTGTAAACTTCCCAACTTATTCCAGAGTTAAAGGCCTTTTATTATTAATCATTTCATAAGATTAGTGTTACGGAAAAAATACTCAAAAATGCTGCTCTAAGAAATAGTCATCATGGGAAAGCAACAGTTCTTAAACTTTTTGATCTCAGGACTCTTTTATTTATTAAAATTGAGGACCCCAAAGAGCTTTTCTTTATTTGGGGTTATATCTGTCAATATTTATTAATTACTTTAGTTGGTAATTTGATAACAGAAATTACTTGGAATTATTAAAATATTTACTTATTTCATTTAAAATTCTTAATTTTTAGTATTTACATAATATATATAAATATGTTGCATGTATTATATATTTTATGAAAAATAGCTATCTTTAAAAATTTTAGTAAGAATAGTTGGCATTGTTTTACAGTTTTGCAAATCTCTTTCTTATCTAGCTCAATATCTGTTTCTGCATGAAATCTTTTATAATATATTGTTTCAGTTGAAGTACAGTAGAAAATTTGGGCTCAGATATGTATTTAGAATTGAGAGGAGATTTTAATGGTCTTTTCAAAGAGTTTTGAATATTCTTTAGTACTACATGAGAAGCCTATAGATAATAGTTTCTTAAAGACTTGTTTTCATATGGAATCAAACTTTCTCAATGAACTTACATTAAAATCAATCAGTCTGTCTTGCACATTAAATGGGTTTTGTCCATAAGGAATTCTCAGTTGTTAATATCACCACCATTCTCATCAGAATAGCTTTTTATTAGGAGGCTGTCAGGTTCACAGGGTGGATGCAAGTTTTCCAGAATTTGAATTTTACTTTATAGTACACATTTTATCATCAGCTACAAAATGGTCAGTTGTTTTCCTTGATGTGACAAACTCACTTCACTCATTTTTGAGGAAATGTCTGCCAAATAACCAAATCTGAATAACCATAGTATGTCTATCTTTATTCTGTAAAAAAAGAGTGTTCCATGGAAAAGTGGCAGCTTGATATCAGTTACACAAATACTTTTCCTTAGAACAACCCTTACTGTTTGAGATGCAGAAGTGCTTTATATGTGCTCCCCATTTGGTCACAGTATTAAAATGGACTCAAAGGTTGAGATTCAATACAATTAATTTTTTTTTTTACTCTTCATCAAGGACCTTCTTATTTGAAAACAATTTTTTACTACGAGTGTGTGGTGATAACAAGTACAATGATCAGCCAGGTGTGGTGGTGGTCACCTGTAATCCCAAGTACTCCGGAGGCTGAGGTGGGAAGATCACTTGAGCCCAGTCTGGGCAACTTAGTGTGAGACCTTGTCTCAAGAAAAAAACAAAAGGCCAGACGTAGTGGCTCACACCTTTAATCCCAGCACTGGGAGGCTGAGGCAGAGGATTGCCTGAGTCTACAGGTTCGAGACCAGCCCGGACAACATGGCAGGAGCTCATTTCCATAATAAATCAAAAATTAGCTGGGCATGGTGGTGCACGCCTGTGGTTCCAGCTACTAGGAAGACTGAGGTGGTAGGATCGCCTGAGCCCAGCAAGTCAAGGCTGCAGTGGCCGTGAATGTGCCACAGCACTCCAGCTTGGGTAACAGAGTGAGACTCCTACTCAAAAATAATAAATAAATAAATAAATAAATAAATAAATAAAAAAGATTATTAGCACAGTTTGGTGCCACTGTCTTGATTGCATGATAATGAGCCAGCAGTTTTGCCCACCATTACTTTTTTAACCTGTCAGTGCAGATGCCAACAGTGTTATTTTTATTACAACTGCTTCAATCATTTTTAACCTTAAGAAATACTCTCCCTTGGTTCTGTGGATCACACTTTGAGAACCCACTGTAGTAGAGAACCAAAGACACTTTAATGTGAGAACTATCCAAAAGTCCTATTTCATTAACAAATACAAATTACAATAAGCAAACAGCCCCCTTGAGTTGATGTCTACTACAGTATCACTCTTGGTAAATCTCAGTTTCCCCAAGCTCTGTGCTGGAGTTGTACTTCTTCTCCTCAAGATAAAATTCAAGGATATTTTGACCCTGCTATGTATCGTCGTCCTTTGGAGTCAAAATTCTGGAACAGCTGCACCCTCTTTTTCTTTATATTTGCCTCCTCCTTTGTATCTCTTTCTTTTCTCATTCTACCTCGCTCCTTCCCTGTTTGCATCACAAGCTTAGAGATACACAGTATAGACTTGGTAGAAATAATGATCACAAAAGAAAACTGAAAATAGCAGATCCTCCAGTTAACAAAGCTTATTATGGCCATTGAAACATTTCAATAACTTAAATCTTAGAAGTGTAAATGCAACATAGTTGATCCCAGTAAAAATAAAACAAGCAAAATAATTGACAAAGGTGGAATGAAAAAATTGATCAAGGAATTACTGAAAGCATCCATGTTAGTGTATTTCTGATTAAAATGTTGATGTCAGACTGTTTTCAGGGTCAAAGTGACCAGAGACCCTCAGATTATATAAATCAACTCTTCTCCTCCTTTTCTCAAAAGGGAGACAGGTCTCTGTTAGCAAATCACGCTATTGTCTATCACTTGGAAGTAACCAGAAATGAATGCGTACACTATGGTGGACTCATTCTTTCTAGTGATCCTCCCTGTGCCTGAAGTATCATCTAGGCACATAATTATTAGTTATTCATACATTCCTAGAAAAGACAGTTACCTCACTTTTAATTTTTCCCAAAAGATTTGAAGGAGCATTTCTTTTGTTTTCACACTATGTTTAGTATTTCAGGAGAATTAAATGATTTTTCTAATACCCAGATGATACTCATGCTGAAATATGCAAAATGCCTCATTCAAGATTATCTCCCTTAATAATCTCTGCTGATTATGTCAGGTGTCTGTCTGAGATAATAGGAAGAAGCTTTGAAAGTTCTCAATTTGTTAATATATCGGATTTTCATCTTTTAAGTAAATGTACTTCCAAAGTATATGCCTGTGGTTTTATAATTAGTTAATTAGTATAGCCATAAATACCATGTGCAGGTCATTGAACTTTAGGCATTAAAGAGGATCAGCAGATGTAAAAAAATATATATCTCAATTAGTAGATCCCTGGGAAAATAAAAAGGAAAAAATTAACAATATAATAGTGTCTATAAAATGGCAACAAGTGTTTACCCTAATAGGACCTACTTCTGTTTTAGTAGCAGTAGCCATTGGGGATCCCAGACAGGCACCAGCCTGGTTTGCAGAATCTTTGGAAACATTAACTCATAATGTCTACCATATCATGGGGCATTGAATGTGATGGCTCAGGATAAGCTCAAAGAGGACACTGTCCCTCAAATTTAAGTAAATAAAAGTGTTAGTGACTCTTTTTGGCCACTGCCCTCTTTTCACCGTATACCCTCGATTTTATAATAAGCACCTGGGATCGTTATCAGGAGAGAACAGGGAAGAGAGCTTTTGATATTTCTGGAATCCTAGCTGGTGTTCTTTTCTTCCTTTTGTGGGAACTGACATCTTGAGTGAGAATGTCCTTAGATGGCTACAGACTCTCACACTCAACATGATACTTTCAGGGATACTCTAACATCTTTATGTGTGGTTTTGGGGAAATCAGCAGCCCCACACCAGGACAAGACCTATCCCAAGACTGTACTGTCCCTGCATAATAAACAAGGGAAGGATGAAGCATTCTGTTCTAACTGTACTCTTGGCACTGATCATAGGTAACAAAATGTAGAAATTTAGAGAAGGTATTATGCATAAAGGCCCCATAAAGGGAACTAAATGCAAACCGAGCCAATGTTCTTTACACTAAGGAAATGTAGACTCCTTTGAAGTACATGTCCCTTAAGCTCAGTGCCTGTCATAGCTCTGTTCTCTTTCATTGGCACACCCCATTTCATAAGTTTATTCAGTATTGACTATTATAATTACAGTCTATTTAGAGACAGGAGTTAGCATAGAAATAGTATGAAAGGAGAATGTCCAAGTTGAGCCTGGAAGGATATGTAAGATTGGATTCATTGGAAAGGAAGGAGGAGGGAGGGAGGAGTAGAGGATCAGAAGTCAGCTTTCAATTAAGTCATCAGTCATCCGTTCCAGAGAGTTGGTGCTGGGATCATAACTGGGTAACAACTGAGATCCAGGGCTGGATAGATCCTTCAGAATGTTGTCCTGGTGAGAGCAGTGGCTTTGCAGCAATATGTTATGGCTAAAAGAACACAATGGGAAGATAAAGATAGTAGCTACTTCAGATAGAATTTAAAAAAAAAAACAAAAAAAACACTTCAGACAGAATTCCTAGAGATATAGTGGTGTGGAGGCAGGAACAGAAAGAAAAGGAGATGAGAGAACAAGGAAGAGCTAAGGGATTTCAATCTGTGGACCAGGAGAGTGACGGCATAGTTGGTGGACTTGGGGAAGTCCAGTAGAGAGCATGGGAGAGTATTACATTAGAGTACAGTTGTCCCACATTGGAGATGAAGCTGTAATACCAACTAGAATGCATGTGGGGAATGATGTGAGGGTACAGGGGATGATCCAAGGATGGGTGTGATAGGCAGATGGATAAGGCACTTCCATTCTAATGGCCCTCAGTAAACTACATGTAGGACTGACTGGACTGGAAATTGTTCCCCTGCAGGAAAGCTCAAGTAAAAATGAAAAACTAGCCAAAATCAAAATATCTTGTCATGGAAAGTCATTCTCAGTGTTTCCAGTGGGGAAAAAGTTGCCAAATACAGGGACCTTTGGGAAATTTATTTTATATTCAATCTAAATTTTTCATTTGCTTTCTTCTGTGTGGAAACAAATTCTCCTCCTCCCAC